TTGGTTGATTGAAATTTGGTTGATTAAAATTTGTAACTAATGTGGCAGTGGTTTTGTCGGTGACGGTGGTGGTGATGCTGTTAGATATAGCATTGAACTGGTGGTTACAAGTGCTAACGGTGTTACAGATTAGACTAGCTGCGACTTCATAATGAACTAACTGTGACGTTAAAATTCGATAATCTGTGACTAAAAATTAATCTGAGACTTGTAATTTTTTTATCTGTGACCTATAAAAGATTTGTGATTTCGAAATAATATGTGACTTACAAAATTTTTGATCTGTGACCGATAAAAAAATTGTAACCTATAAATTTTTTGATAAGTTGTGATCTAAAATTAATTTTTAACTAATTAANAAAAATATTGTGACCTATAAATTTTTTGATAAGTTATGACCTAAAATTATTTTTAACTAATTAATAAGATATTTGTGACCAAACTGTACAATTAAATATTTAATTAATTAATAAAAAGTAAAAATCTGATTTTTACAATTTTAAACTTTAGCACCTAATTTTTGCAAGTGTCAAAGTTAATACCTGATTTATGAACTTTTCCCTAAATTGTAGGGTTGTTTTTCTTGGCCCATAAAAAGCCACATCCATCCAAGACTTAAAAAAGGCATAAATACCAATCAAAAGACCACTTTGAAGAGGCGAATTCAACGACACAATAGACAAGGGGCATGAGATTGATCTAGAGAAAGACAGACAACGTCAAGAAGGAGAATTCAAGCGTCAAATCAATTTTTCATTCTATTCTTCTTCATGTTCTTAATATTAGAATTGATTACGCCTTTTCTTTTATTCTTAAACTAAATTCTAGAACTAGGGTATGATGTAACCTAACTTGAGATATGTTTGGATTTTAGGCCCTATTTGTTTCGGATTAAAACCAAATTTTAATACAAGTAAAGTCAAACAATCAATATTAACCACATTTTTCATAAATTCCACAACTGTTCAACCACACATTTAAAAAACTTCTATCACAATTTGCTAAAAATCTAATTTAAACCTCACCAAACACCCTCTTAATATAGTTTTTTTCTTTTAGTGTTTTCATGAGTTTATTTGTATTGATTCTTGCATATTACTTTTAATTATCTGATCAATAATTGAATGATTTGATATTTTAAATTTCGACACTTGAGAGAGAAAAATTTAAACGTGATCTAAGAATAATACAACCTAGATCTTATAAGTTTCGAAAGAAAGTAATCTTTAAAGTATGTCCCACTTAAGAACTACGAACGTGATAATTTCTAAATTTTAATTCGGAATACAGACGATGGAATTAAAATATAGAGATAAGTTCTATTCGACACTCGATAGAGGGAATAAAATTAATTTAAGGTTATATCTTATAAATTTAGGGAAAATTGATAGAAGTAGTTATATAATTCGAGAAACATTGTACATATTACGGTGAAATTATTCTCTAGGCTTCCTCACTTTGATAAATCTCTTGCATAACTTGCATTAATTTAGTTGAATTTGCCACCACGTCCATGTTTAGGTTAATATAAAAACATTGATTCTAAAATTGGATTTTCTAAATAAAATAAAAGATGAAACAATTATAGTACTTTGTGGGAATTAAATATCAATCTCTATAGGTTCGACATCCTTGCTTGCTTATAGATTACAAAACTTGACACCGTGCCCTTACGATAAATTTACGTTACATAAAACTCGTAACAAGTCACAAAGACACAAATTGTTAGTCACATTTACAAAATTAGTTGCATATCACACAGATTTTTTAGGTCAAATATTATTTATTAGTCACACATTATCTATTTTAATGGTCAATTACTCATATAATTGATCACAATTGCTCTTCATCCCACCACCATTGGCACCATCCTAACGTTGTCCCTGTCTTACCATCACAACACCACCAACCATGCAGATATGTAGCACAACCACCAGTGACACCACACCACTACTCGCGCGAATCTCTATACCGCACCACCATGTTGATTTGTTCATCCACTGTTGTTGCAATGGAACCACTGTCAAAATGAAAAAAATTCCACAATGAAACCGACATCACAACCACCACCACTATGGTCACAACCAAACTATCATCATCACCCTTTGGCCAAATTAGATGTCGACGATACCACTTTGAGGGGTTTTTGGACATTTTGAGATCAATGGAAGTGTGGACCATCACAACCACCTCCACACGTGTGATCGGAAGAAAGTAAAAAAAACTATATATATTTCATATCAATGCTACTTGCAAGATATTTCCCAAGTGTCCATTAGTGCTTATAGGTGGACATGGATCGGGTTGGATCGAGTTGGATAATTTACATTTCTTATGAAGATTTAGGCTTGGGTCCAAATTATAGTAATTTTTTTTTTAACCAGTCATCAATATAAGATATACGTTAATAGAAAAGGAAAAGAGAAGAAATTAGGGCCGGGTTTTGATTTCTATGTAGAATGAGAATGAAAAATATAGTCGTTATTGGAGCCCACATAAAAGATAGAAAATTTGAATTTAAATATTGTAGTGATGGATAACAGTCATAATTTTCATTTTAATGAGATAATAATGTAGATCAAACGAGGGCTAAATAATTAAATCTTTAAAAAAAATTGTTACAATGGGTTGGGTTGAATCTAGTCTATTGAAAAATTCGCAACCTAAATCAAGCGACGTAATTATGACTTCATCAGCCCGATCTAAATTTATTGGTGGCAAAAAATTGGACTCTAATAAACCTGAATTGGGTCGAGTCGGATCAATTGACTTGAACGGTTCGACGGTTAATTTGCCCAACCCTTGTTGGTATCATTTTCCAATGAGAACAATACATAACTCCTAATTTTAAAAATCACATTTCATAAATAATAAACTC